TCTCTTTATAGTCGACTCCATAAGTTTGAGTAAATGCTTTGGCCACCAATCTGGCCTTATACATCTCAACAAACCCATCACTATTATATATAATTTTAAATCCCCATCTACATCCAACTATTTTATTCCCTTTAGGTAACTTGACAATGTCCCAATTACAGTTCTTGTCTAGTGGCTGAAGTTCTTCTTTCATGTCCTTCCTCCACACAGGTTGAGAAATGATATCTTAAAAATTAGTTAGCTTAAAATTACTAGAAATAGAATTCAAAAAAGAAAAATAATTAGGAAAGATAGTTTCATATGAAATATGATTTTAAATAATAAAATAAATTATATGATAAATATAAAAATCTCGAAGTCTAGAGGAAGGTTGTGAGATACGAGAAAACCTATACAATGGGAGATCAGATAGGGCCATGACTATGACGAAGCCTTCTTCTTCTAAATTAGTTTGGTGAGTTTCAGATGTATCTTCAACTTTGATTTGATCATCATGGCACTTTTAAGTGTGTTGGACAAATCATTGGTACTAATATTAGGCAATAGCAAACGACCTCTTGAATACTCCCCTTGAGTTCTATTTTCCAAACCACTCTCCAATGTTTCATAAAAATAGGATTTTGTTTCAACAAATTGAACATCTCTAAAAATATGCATTTTTCTAGTTGTGGGATCATAACATTTGTATCCAAAGTATCCAATAAGGATACATCTACTGTAATGTTTATCACGTTTATCCTGGTTGTGCCCAACCACATTAACATAGGACACACAACCAAATATTCGCAAAAAGGACAAATCAAATTTTCTAGTTTTCAAAATTTCAATGAGTGATGTATCCTTAAGAATTTTACTTGGAAGTTTGTTAATCAAATAGCAAGCAGTTAAACAGCTTCAGTCCAATAATTTTTTGGAACATGCATTTGAAACATCAAAGACCTTGAAGCTTCCAAAAAGTGATTATTTTTCCATTTAGTAACTCCATTCTGCTGAGCCGTTCCAACACATGATGTTTGATGTATAATATCAAGATTCAATAAATGCTCAGAAAAGCTTTGTTCACATACTCCGTGTTATAGTTCGTTTGCAAAATTCTAATATTGCTATTATATTAAGTAGAAATCAGTTTGGAAAACTCTTTTAACACAGGAAAAACTTATGTTTTTTATTTCAATAGATATACTCAAGTAGCATGAGAGCAATCATCAATAAAAGTAACATAATATTTAAATTCTGCATACGAATTAACTGGGGCTGGGCCCCACACATCAGAATGTATCAAATAAAATGGTTCTTTTGAAATATGCATAGAAGATTGAAAATGAAATTTTATATATTTTGAGAATTTGCAAACTTCACCAGAATGAGAGTTTAAAGATAGAGATGACATTACGATTTTCAAAACTTTATCTAAAAGGTATCCAAATCTCCAATGCCACAATTTGTTAATATCATAATTATCTTGATTGACAACCAAAGCCTTGTTGTCCTGATTGAATAAATATAGCCCTATGAGTCAGTCTTCCTTCGTCAATCTTTCTCTTTATGGCTCAGTCTTGAAAAGTCACATAGTTGGTAGAAAAATAATATTGTAATTCATACTTTGAATAATTTTACTAACAAACATCGTTTGAGGAAAATAATGGCATAAAAAGAACTTCAGAGTTTTGTGACTTGGAGAATAAATTGATTTTACCAACACCGTGTACAAAAATTAAGGAACCATTAACAATAGACACATGGTTCATATTTTTATTATTTTTGAGGTTAGATAGATACTGCAAGTTATTAGTGATATAATATGCAGCCCTTGAGTCTACTATCCAAGAAGAAGTGTCACAGAAGGACATGAGACTGTAGGGGTTATTTGTGTCCGGGAATTAAAAAAAAGAATATTGTGTAGTGGAAGAACCATTATTGTTACTTAATTGCTGATAATGATCACAGTTGCAGTAATTAGTTTGAGTGGTTGCAGTTTGACCGATAGATCTGTTTGTTGTCGTATTACCACTATTTTGAAGCATTTTTTGTTTCATATTTCTCATTATTAGCAACCATGAAAAATTTTTCAACACTTTATTCAGAGGTTTTGAAATCAAGATTCATGATTTTCTTCCTACTCATGTGTCCAAGTTTAGGTTTTTCAAAGAGAGAATGATAAACATCTTTTGACTAAGCAAGAAAATTAAGTTCATTCAAAAGGCTAATAGTAAGTTTCGTGCTGCAGTAATTTTCTGAGTGTCATTATAAAGAGATAACAAGAACCATAAGACTGACCCGATCGATATAAGGTAATTAAAAAAGTAGAAGGCACCTCAATAAAAAAGATCAAAGATTTCAATGAGAATTAATTTTTTTTCTCTCTTTAGAAAGTGCCACTAGATCTTATACACAAACCATAAGCAACCATAAAAACCAATCGTCCCGATCCACACAAAGAAGGCATATGACACTATTGTCAAATACCCAAACTCAGTTTGGGACCTTCCTTATCAATGAATGTCCAAAACACTTCGAAACAAAATGTCCAAACACTTTGCAAAAAAATAAATTTATATATGAACCATATTTGGGGCTCAATTGCAAAACGGAATTACATTTGTCCAAAATTACAGGGCCAATTGCAAAATGGAATCACATTTGTCCAAAATTAGAGGGTGTACCCCCCTCTTACGGTATTTTTTTTTTTTTTCAAGTTATCTCATATCCAATAATACGAACACCGAATAAGGAAGGTATATCATGCAAAGCAAAACAGTTGTCCGGTATTTAAAATATTATCTATTTGCTATCCCCAAAACTAATTAGCACTTTCTCTTCAAACATCCTGACCATTTTCTCTCTCATCACTTCAGGCTCTCTCCTCCCAAAACCGTCTCTCTCTTGCATGGTAAATGAGAGCAATTTACTAGGAAGAACAAAATGAAGCCCTAATCTTACCATCAGAATGAACCTCGCATCCTCTGTAATTGGGTATATTGATTCCTCCAATGATGGGCGCCAAATCAGGCTCAAGTTTGCGAAGATCGAAGTCAGGCTCTCCCCTCGAAAACAAAACCTGCATCCATGTAAATCTTCTTTTGCAACCATTTATTGCATCAAACCGATGAACTCGAGGCTAAAACCCAAAGACGGACTTTGACCATTAAGCAATTTGAAGCCAAGGGCGGACTTGGTATGGGTTGTAGAGAGAGGAAAGAGAGAAGGCCAGCGAGAAGGAAAATGACGAAAGAAAGAGCATACTTGGTTTTCGGGGATTTTAAAGAGTTGTCTGGTATTTCGAACACCAAGCAGCAAAGAACAAACCCCATTTGTATTACCGGTATTTGCATTACCGGATAGAGAGTAACTTGAAACAAAAGAAAAAAAAACCCATAAGAGGAGATGCCATCTGTAAATTAAGACAAAAATGATCCCATTTTATAATTAACTCCCGAATATGATTCATACTTAATTTCTCTTGTGAAAAAACAATTCTCAATGTAAACGTCTTCCACAAGAAAGTATCCAAGAGAGAAAAATCTAATCGTAGGGAGAGATCACCGAAATTAGTTTGCAACCGTCCTTCTCAATACAAACGGCCTTGTCAATGCAAAAACAATTTGCAAAAACTTCCTTCTCAATGCAAACGTCCTGCACAAGAAAGAAAGGATCGAAGAGACGGATCCAATCGTAAAGAGAGATCCACTCTCACCCTGCAAAAAAAAATAGAATATATCGATTGTGATCTTCTACATACGTCCCAAGACTTCTGTTCTGATACCATGTTGAAGTTGCAATAAGCGACTTCCGTTCTGGTACCATGTTGAAGTTGCAATAGAGAGAGAAAAATAGATCAATACAACGTACACATGGTTCGGCAATGATACCTACATCCAGAGAGGATAAATCAGTTTATCATTTATAGGGACTACTCTGATTTATCAGAGATTTATAGCTTTATAACTATTGTCTTTTAGGAAATAAAATCCCATTACAATTGTAATCCTGCAAATACGACTCAATATAGAAAATTTGATATGTTGTATATACAAGATAGGAAACTCAATATTTGGTATGGATCGAGGAATCAAGAAATGAAATATGTTTTTATAAATATTTTATATGAAAAACAATAATTTGAGATATATTTTTGTCAATTTTTTATTTGACTTATTTTTTTTTCCAATTTTATTGAGTGTACCCAACAATAAACTTGTGAAAAATAAAAAATAAAATACAAAGCCAATTTGTGGCCTTCATATTTGATTTGATTCAATCTAATCCATTGGAAGGGTATTCGGGCACCCTTCAAGCATTTATATCACATGAACAATATAGTCTCAATGTGAATATACTCTCAATGTGAATTGTGGCTATCGAACTTCACATGAACGTGCACGAGTGGTTGTAACCAAAGTATCTTAAACATAAAAAGTTCATTATACAACAGAAAAGGTTCATAAGAGGTTGCAAATTTTTTAAAAACAAACTACGTTTTTTTACTCTATCTTAAAAGATGTCTCAAATTTCTATTATTCAAAAAAAAAAAAAAGATAGTACAGAACATCGAAATCTTATTTCTACCACCTAACATAAACCGCATTCTTGTATAATTTCCCTGTCTTTCGGAGATGAAGTTTGTACTACGCTCAGCTTCTAAGGAAAAAAAATCATCTCAAAAATACTTGTCTGAAAAACACTCTCGATATAAAAATCTCTATGATGGACCTAAGATCAATTTCCACAGCCGCTTATGAAGTCTATAGCTGAAAAGTGTTACATATCTTTCAGATTTATAAACAATTGAAAATGGACAGATTACATAGTATGGAAAATAGACAGTTTAGATAGTATGTTATAATATATACTATAATTAAAATTTAAAATTTTTAATTTATTTCATAACTTTAAGGACGTGTTTGATAACATAAAGTTGTTTATTGAAAATTGAAATTTAACTAATAGTATTCATGCTATGTGTTTGATAGAAAACGGAAGGTCAAGTAAGGAACTTCACTCTACTGTTGATGTTTTTTGCGACCGAAAGGTCGGAACTTGGCAGTTTTTATAAAACTCCACCGCTTCTGTGCTTCGCTATCAGCCGCTGAGCCACCCCTCTCTTCGCACCACGCCGCTGTCAGCCAGACCCCTCTTTTCGCATTCAGCCCTCTCTAGGTTTACTCGTCTCTTCTTGAGCTCTGATCCTGCTAGTGAGTACTATAAAGAAGACGGAGGAGGAAGCAAAGAGCTCTGATTCTCTCCGTGTTATTTATCTTGAGATATGTTATTGAGCTCTCTTTTTCTTCATCTTTCTCTCTCTTTCCCTTGGATCTCTTCCTTGAGTTCTAATCCTTTCTATTGAGCTTTGATCTGTGTTCTTCATCTTTCTTGAGTTATTGGCGTGCCCCGACTGCCCTAACCACAGAGAAGAGACCATCTTGCGTCTCTTTGCACCTACGAGGTATTTGCGTGCCCCTGACTACCCTAACCACAGAGAAGAGACCATCTTGCCTCTCTTTGCGCCTACGAGCCTCCTCACAAAGGTACATCTCAGTTTTTTCTCTCTCCCCTGATGTTTTTCTCTCTGATTTTTTCTCTAGGTTCCGAACATGGTGAAAATGGATCTCACGATTTTTTTCTATACGATCAGTTTTTTTCTCTCTCTGGTTTTTTTTTCTGATTTTTCGCAAATGTTCCTATTTGATAAAGATTCACCTGGGTTGCAAGGGGTGAGTTTCTTCTCCTGAGCCCCATTTTCAAACATTGGTTAAAGCAGAGTGATTCGAATTTGTTAATTGATTGCATCTTACTCGAGTTAGGCATTTCGTGTTTTTCGTCTTGCCATTTTTTGAGTTAATTTGCAGCATGTGTATTAAAATTTGAGATGAAGTCCAAAATTCGAGATGAATTCCAAAACTTTTTTCGAATGTGATCTGCACCAAATAAATGATATGGACAAGTAACGATAGGGGAAACAAATCGGGCTAAGAGCATTTTATTATAGGAATTAATGGCAATTGAGAATTAATGGCGATTGATCGACCGTGTGACGAGCATTACTAATTTTTGAGCAGTGAGGAGGATGGGGAATGTTAGGCATTCAGAGTGGCAGGGTTGTGCAGTTTAGTTGACTTTATTTCATGAGACCTTTGGCTGCCAATGGGTTTGAGGAGGCAATTCCTGTTAGGCTTTCTTGGGGACTTAGCATGTGCTTCTTGAGAAAAGGGAGGAATTTTTTGCCATGACCATTCAGGCTGATTTGGCCTTCCTTGTCCTACCTTCCTATTGTTTTTTTATTGGTGTGGTAGATGTACAACAGGCTGCCGGCTGGCACTGTTGACCTGACCCAATTACGAGATATTTTGTATTTCCTATGTATAACTAATGTTTTTCTTCTTGTATTTGTCTTTTTCATTTTCATGCAACATCTGAGGTGAACATGTATAAGAAGAATGCATGAAAAATCAACAACTTTTATGGGCATTATTTTGTTCTAATTAGAACTTGTTCTACATTTGATATGGACCGCATTTTGTGGCCACAAATTTTTAGTCCTCGTCAAATGTTGTGTTTATTCCATTGCATTTTCAATTATGTATGTTTAAACTATTACAGGTTGTCGGTTGTTGTTGAATGGGCTGGTTTTGTACATGATCGTATATGGATGCATGAATTGTGAATGTTGCTTGACATGCATCACAAATGTCTTAAGAGATAACATACAAATGTTATGTGCCATTGTAATCTTAGAGAGAGAGATAACACACAAATGTTTTGTGTATCACAAATGTTTTAAGGGACAAACAACAATGTTGTTTTATTGTTGAATGACGTATATTTTTGAGGTTGGGATATGGATGCATCAGTGGCGAATGTATGTCTAAGTAGTGCTAAATTATTACAGGTTATTGTTGAATGGGCTGATTTCTTATTGCTTGCATTGTGCATGTGTGTGTTTGTATGTTGTGCTGAAGCTATTATAGCACAATCCAATAGAATATAGGAAACCAAATCCTTAATTGCTATGGCCGTCGATAGATGTGAGTGTGCATGTGTGTGTGTGAGAAATAGCGAGAGAGCGAGAGAGAGGTTCTATTCGGTTTAAGAAGAAAGTCATCGACAACCTACTTATGAAATTTAAACACCTATTCCACTTTCAAATCCATCATGTCGACCTTGACCATTATCGTGAACTTGCTTCCAATTATCAAACAGGCCCTAACGGTCAAGGCCGACATGATGGATTTGAAAGTTCTTTTTTTTGAAGCCGGAAGACTTATGAGGTGAGGCTTTACTTATTTTAAACGGGCTGCAGCCCTTAAACTAAAATATATCCAAGGTTATTTTAGTCAATGTCCAGTCCCTATAAATACTTCCATTTGCGCCTGTTCACGCCGGTCTCTGCATCTCGTTTTGCTTTAGAGGGAGAGACACTACTCTTGCCATGGCTTAATCTGCATTTTTATCAGTTAAAATTATGAAAAATTCATCGAAAATGGAGGTTTAAAACTTCAGAAACTGCATGTTATTAAACCCTTTCAGAGAAGGAACCTCAAATTCCAGAATCCCAAAGCCTTCCAGATCTGGCGATCTCGATGGTATTGCGAGGTATTTTAGTGAAATCTCATATTATCCAAGAGAAATTCTTCTGAAATATCATCTTATCCTAGAGAAATTATTCTCCAATTAGGGTTTCTTGCGCTTTTAATCTGAATTCTAAGTGATATATTATGTTCTCATTGATTCCTTAGTTTAATTTATTGATTTTAGTTTAGTTTTTGGAATCGAAGTCCTGATTTAAATTTATGTGGAATGTTCTGGTTTAGGCTTAGTTTTTTGGAATAGTTGCGGTTTAATTTCTCAATGTACTTTAATTTGAGGGTGGAAATCTTGATTAGATATTTCAATGAAATTATTGGATTAAGGTCGAGTTTCTCTGGAGAATTAGAATTTGATCATGATATTTAGCTGCATAATATTTGCCACAAGTTGGTAATTATATGATTTTGATGATAGAATGAAGCTAACGAACAGTTCCCACATTTCTAGTATTTTTTGGGGTGAATGGCACTATCTACTATTAGAAAGTAGGGAACTAGTGTGCCAGTGATCCATGTAATATTTAAAATTTAAAATTATCTAATTTCAATTGCTTTGTCATGAATGCTTGCCATTTTTTCGTTGAAATTATAATTTTCTATCATATCCAAATTTCAGTTTAAGAGCCAAAGAGTGAGAGTCGAGGTTGATATTCTTACTCGCCATGGACAAATCTAGTGCTTTGGAGTACATCAACCAAATGTTCCCAACAGGTGTGGTGCTTCTCGTCCTTTATCGATTGATTATTATTATTTATCTATTTTGAGCTGTTTTGTGGGAGAATATGTGAAATAATAGTTGTATTCAATGTTTCAAAAATCTTCAATGCGACTCGGCCGAGTCGGATCAGAACTGGGATGCTGGCGATTCTGGTATGAAAAACCTGGAATCAACTGAGTATCCCGATTTCCTACTTTTTTTTTTTTGTAACTGTAGGCAGGTCAGATTGTCCCTGTTGGACTGGGGGAATCAAATCAGACCCCTCCCTAGTCAGAGCCCAATTCTAATATTCGAATGTCTGGTTGTAACCATATTGGGTGTTGGGTCTCCCAATAGTTGTGCTTTCCTTAGAGGCATCATGCAGGAGCATGCTGCATGCTTCCCCCCCCTCCCCCCCCCCCCCCACACAGATTGTGTAAAGTACTAGGTGCTTTTGAGGTTACAGTTTTACCAATTTATATCTTTGCTTATTGGATGATCTGAATTTGAACAAAATGCAGAGGCATCTTTATCTGGAGTGGAACCTCTAATGCAAAAGATACGAAGTGAAATTCGCAGGGTGGATGGGGAAATATTGGCAGCTGTTCGTCAACAGGTTGCTTTATTCTTGTCAATTATTTTCTATTTTATATATGGGCCTTTCTCTTGCTGCGCAATTCACCATATTTGCAAAATATATGCTGATATTCCCTGTCATTTATTGTTGTAACTCTTATTAAGGTGTGGATGATATTCCCTGCAGAGTAACTCTGGAAGCAAGGCCAAGGAAGATCTTGCAGCTGCAACTCATGCTGTTCAGGTTGTTCCAGAACTGTTAAACCATCTACTTTTGTTTGATGTATTTTAAATAAAGACTTGCTGAAAGGTGTTATTTCTTAGGGTCCCATTATTTTACCTGCAAGTGGCACTTGAGACATGTTATCATTTTAATCTCTGGCATGGCATATTGTATGGGTTTTTCATTGGTATTCAGGAGCTTATGTACAAGATCAGAGAAATCAAGGCCAAGGCTGAGCAAAGTGAAACCATGGTTCAAGAAATTTGTTGTGACATTAAAAAGCTGGACTTTGCAAAGAAACATATAACGACAACGATCACTGCTCTTCATCGCCTCACCATGCTAGGTTGGCACTTGAGGCCCTTATATATCATATGAGACATTCTACAGATATTACAGATGCATTCTTGAATTCAACTGGCTATGGTGCTGTGTGACGTCTTTGTTTTCTCTTTCTTTCTATTTCATGTTTAGAAAAATCTAAGCTATACTTTTTTAATGAGGACACCAATGTTTGTATGTGCCATATATTTGGAACTTTGTTTAGCTTAAAGTGCTTGCATTGGTGAGTGAAAAATCTGTTGTGATTGCTAGGACAATTCATAGTCTACGATCTGTTGTTCAAAATCCTTTTTTTGGCTGATTGAAATTCTGTGGTGAGGTTTTTTTATGTCTTTTCCTCACTCTAGTTCTTCTATCATTCCTAGACCTCCATTTTAGTTATTGCATGTTATACTTCAAATATTATTGGATTGGCCAAGGGTTCTGATAAGTGTCAAAGCAATCTCTTGGGAATTATCATGGATGTGTTGAACCTTTTGCTATCATTAAAGATTAGGATCATAAGCATTTGCGATAACTCATATTTTCAACAGGAAGATCAAATATATATATTCAAGATGGAGAGGAAATTGTGAGGTATATGGGGAGCAGGCAATGGATGAATTTGCATTAGAGACAAGAGATTGGGCATAACATTGGTTTGGGAAACCTTTTGGCAGTTGTATGCCAATTATTCTTACTACTTAATATGGATAATCTTCCAAAACAATGTTTATTTGCTTCCTTACATATGTATGATATGTAGCAAAGATGAGTACTAGTGAACCACCTTTTACTTTGTATTCACACCTTGAAAATATTGTGGGAGCATTCTGAAATTTATCAATGTTGACTACTTTCTTTTGTTACACCTTTTGTATTGATGCTGAAGCAATGCGAGATGGAGTAAGTACGCTTCGTTGTTCTGGTGGATTCACTTGCTTGCATTGATGTGGCGAGTTGGGAAATTGAAAACACTGAATAATTTGACTGATATTGATCAAATTCACCAGGAGTATGTTATTTTCTAAGTTCCTGATAATTCTGATGTTACTAGGGAAAAGTTAGGGTCGTCAGGTACATGCCGCAGTTTCAAATCCTTTTCTTTTATTTGATTTTCTATCAATCAATTGTTACTTATGAAATCAGCCATGACTTATAAATGGTTGTTCTGTTGGAATGTGCTAGCAACATATCAAACTACTTTCCTCATGGTTTATAATATCTGTATCTAGTTCCATATGAGCAGTGATCCATATCTCTGAAGCCCGTGTACTTGCTTTTCTGCTGATAAAAAAAAATAAAAAATAATGGATCAGATTGAAGTAAAAGAGTCGTATAGACAACAAACCATTTTTCTGCTTTTTGTAAGAAACATCTGGTTGAATTCCTTTGTATTCTTTCATATGAAGTGCAGAAGGCTCCATTGTTCCTTCTATTTAGGTATTGTGGTTCTGAAGTTGCTCTAAGCCAGAAATAATTATACTTCAATTTTCGTTGTTGTCATTAAAGAGGTTCAAGTCTCCACTACTGTTGGATTATTTTTTATGACTTCTTAGGATCACATCAAGATGCATGATATTTGTGGTTTATTTCATGAAATTTAGAATTCCGAAGCAACTCTAAATGTTGAGTTTTACAAAAGCAGGTTTAGATGTTACTTAAAGTTTGATTTCCTAGTTAAAGTATCAGACATTCTGCAATCTGCTGTTTTTTTTTTCTGGTATGTGTTCTGCTGAATACTTTATCACCAATTATGTTTGTACTAAACTTTCCTTTATGATCATTTTCAGTTTCTGCTGTTGAGCAACTTCAAGTAATGGCATCAAAACGGCAGTATAAGGAAGCAGCAGCACAATTGGAGGTTATGTATCTGTTATGACGCAATTTCTGTAATTTAGTTTCTTCCATATTTATGTTCATAAATTAGAAAACTGTCCCCAAAATTTCCTAAGAGACCAGAGTACTTGTTACCGTTTATGATTTCCTCCCTCCTCTTTCATCAAATCCTTAACATCAGGATGCTTTTGCAAAGGCCATTAATTTAACTATAGATCCATTACCAATAAGAACCACAAAAATGCTGATGAGGAGATTCTGCTGAGCACACAGCATCCTTAGTGCTTTTGAAAGTTTTATCTATTGTTTTGATAGTGCTTATGGAAACTTGGAATGAAGCTCTAGAAAGCCTATTTATTCTAGGGCCATATGAAGAGTCAAGGGTCATTTAAGCAAGATGTTGTTGCTCTTGTCTGAACATTATAGTAGCAAGGATGCAATTAATATGTATATTTCCTATCGTAAATACCCTGCAGGCATTGTGAATGTCCAACGGACGAAATGCCTTCCTATCTTAGCACTTGGAGAGGTCTCTCAGTGGCCAATTCCCAGCTTATAAGAATTGCTTTGATACCTTTTCATCTTGCATGGCCACTTACAACCTAAAGGAGCCTCATCACTTAGTTATAGAACTGGGTCTCAGGCAGCAGTCTTAACCAAATAGGAGTTCATTTGCCAAAAGGGCTGTCAGTGCATCCTCAACAATTATCACAGGACATGTGGGTATCAAAAAATAACTTGTTGGCCGGAAAAACCACTTCAAGAATAAGGAGCTCCATTAGACCCATGCAACGTTCACCAAGTAAAACAGAAGGCTACGACATTTATCGGATTTCTAAAGAAATGTAGCATGTGCATGATATCTGGGACTGCTAATGCAAAGGGCCTTTTTTTTTTTTTGGAAAGTACTGTAATAAAATTCTTATCTGTAGTGGTTGGATCCTTATGAATCTGTTTGTAGTTGCTAAACTGAATTCAGACGAACGAGGGTCCGGTTAGATAACTTCAAGTTCAAGTCGTAGGTGAGAATGGGGCAAAAAAAAAAAAGAAAAAGCAAAAAGGAAGCTAATAGTTATTTGGTTAGTTTTATAGCTAGTGTTTCGTGAGTTTGGCACTAGTAAAGCTTTATAGAAATTCCATGGGAGAGAGCATTGTTGTTTCCTCGATTTTTTTTTTTGGTTCAATTTTTCTCTTCATAAATTGACATTTGTGAAACTTCGTAGAAATGCTAGGGGAGAGATCTTGCTTTTTCCTGTATTATTTTTATTGTTCAATTTCTCTTCTGTGTTTGTAATATTTGGTGCATTCAAAACTTCCACAACATTGGTTTACTGAGACAGTTCTCAACCTACTTTCTAGGCAGTTAACCAGTTATGTAGCCACTTTGAGGCGTACAGGGATATTCCTAAAATAACTGAGCTTAGAGAGAAGTTCAAGACCATCAAACAATTGCTGAAGTCACATATATTTTCAGATTTTTCGAGGTACATGTTTAATTGAGTGCATACAAGTTTTAAATTTTAGACTTTCTTGTCATTAAATTTACTTGAGTGCTGATCACCGAGTAATTCAATTTCATTAAATGTTATTGATATTGTGAAAATACAGTCCATGTTTTATTTAATAGCTTATATTTTAGAATTCAGATCATCACATATTCACTATGAGTAGAGGGATTACTATATTTTATTAGTTTGAAATGCTATCCTTGTCCCAGATTTAAAGTTCGAGCTGGCAAATTTAATCCTTGTATTACATTGTTTCCCATGCATACTTGTTCCAAATGTGAATGAGTTATACACTTTGAAATTCATAGACGTTCTTTCAGTTCTGGAACTGTTGTCATCAAAAACTTGATGATTCTTTTCTTCTGCACTATTGCTTGTGTCATTAGCCAACTGATGTTTTCTTTGAGACCAAGACATACACGAGCTTCCCTGTAACCCTTTTGGAAAAATGCTCTGGATAGAAGGAATATAAGCATGACTTCCCATGCATGAGATCTAATTCTTGTTATCTGGTTCAAGAATCCATTGGTTGTGAGTGGATTTATGAAGTGGAGTTGTTGGCCAATGCTTCACTACAATGATACGTAGAAAGGTAAATTGCACAGGGATGTATGCTGGAACTTTGCAGCAAGAGGTAGCATTCCCCCTTCCCTGGGTGATTCTTAAGTAAAAAAGGTAGACTTATTGCCTGTTCTCATTCTTTCTTCTGCTCCCTCAAACTTCTCTACTGTTTCTAGTAACTAGCTGTGAGAATGCAAATGCAAATTTGTCAATGAGGAGCTTTTCATATATTGTATTATTTTGCTGCAAGGCACAGTTTTGTCTTTTCATAACCGGTAGATTCTTATAAGAGCATAGAAGGGGTCAAGAGATCCCAATTAAGATTATAGGGTTTACATTTTAATTTTCATTCCACAAAATATCTTTAAAAATACCCAAGTTGCCCCTGTTCAGGGTTGGGAACCTTGAACAAGTAGGGATATTTCAATGATTTGTCCCACCCTGATCAAGCAGGGTTACTCTATCATTTGGTTGGAGCCGCTTAGGTAGGTCAAATCACTGAAATGCCTTTGCTTGTTCAATGTGCCCAATCTTGAATGGGGGGACCTCGGGAATTTTTTAAAGATATTTTTTGAGGGGGTACTTGAGTGAAATGAAAATTAAAAAGTAAACTCTCTAATATCAATTGGGATGTTTTGACTCCCGTATTAATTTTGTAATTGCTTTTGACCCATTGGATGATATTTTTCCTTATTTTTATTCTACTAGATCAAAAGTTCATGATGACCTTAGGAGTGCCATTTTACACGAACTGAGTAGCTATTCCTGTACATGATTTGTCATACTATGTGTATATCAATTTGTCTTAACATGGAGTTCAGCTTTGACTAAGCTATAGCGATACAAGGTGCGATTTTCTTTAAACTATTCTGATTTTATACCCTTAGAAGTATGATGTATTTTCCTCCAATGGGCCTGGGATTTCTAGTCCAAACTATGATCATAGTTTTGATGGTTAAAAAAAAAGAAGACTAGGTCAGCTTGTATGTTTTTTTTGGGGCAAGCTCCAAGGGTTCAAATCCTTAACTTCTCTGACGCAAACAAACATGTCTACCACTTAGCCAAAGCCCTAGGGACCAATATGTATACCAACCCAAAACTGAAATACAGTTTTGAGGGCTCGTTTATTGGTAATGTGGTGCATGTGCAAATGGTAAGCTGATCAACAAGTCGTTTGCTTTGAATTGTTTGGACAATTCATATTTATCAAATAGTGTTGTTTTAGAGCTCCCTTTCATGTTGTGTTAAAGCTCCCCTCTATTTGCAAATGAATTTTGCTTTGGGGGTGTTTGACAATTGGAAATTTTGGCGCCAGGAGCCAAAATTTCCAGTTCACTTAAGAACTTCCCTGTTTGATAACAGGAAGTGCTACCCAAATTTTGGTAATCACATGTTATTTTCATGCTGAAAACTACGTTGAAAAGTGGAAATGACGGCATCCATGGGGCCATGGAAGTCATCACTTCCATTTCCTTGGGAAGACAAGCAATTTCTAAAGCATGCCTTCTCAAAGTCAAACACGCCATAAATTTTTCAAAAAAAATGGGAAATGCGGATTGCCCTTTTTTGACTATTTTCTCATTTTGATGTGAGACATTGTTTTATTTGTTTTTATTTTCGGTGTGATTTGTATAGAGTCTAGGCTCTAAACATTCAAATTAGAGCCTACCTTCAAATAGTGTCAAGAAATGTGGTTTCAATATTGGAAATCTTTGCGATAGCCTTAAAATATATTTTCATATTTGTTTATAAAGTTTAAAACTTCAAAAATAGTGTGGATCGATAGATCTATGAAAACTTGAAAATCGACAGTCAAAACATGAGTTACAAAATATACTATTTCTAAAATTTGAAATCCATTTTTTTCTCATGTCCATGCATATTGATATCGAGATGATCAATTTGAGGATATTTGAGCATCAAAACAAGCTCTTCTAGTGAAAATTTTGAGGTAGGCTCCAATTTGATGGTTTAGACCCTCGGCTCCATATAAATTTTTCCCTTTTATTTTTCTCCTAAATTGGATCATGATGAAATTTTGAGGGTGTGTACACTTCATTAGGCGCATATGTAAAATGTACCAAAAAAAAATCCAAACAAATTAAAATGATCAAAGTACCCCTCAAAGTGTAATGGGCATTTTGGTAATTTATTTTTTTGCAGTATATTTTTGCTTGAGATTTATTATAGATGCCCAAATTTCAGCTCAATCCAAGCTAATATGAAATAAAATAAAAATGAAATACTCAGACATGTTGTAGACCATTTGATTAAGATCTAGCGGTTGGGATTGATAGTGGTTTAGGTGAACTATAATGTGCTGGGGTGTTTTGTGCATTATATTTATGTATTTTTTTGATAATTTTTACAAGTGCAATGGCAAAAATTTTAGCTCAGTCCGAATCCTATAAAATTGAAATATCAGGCACGTTCTCAACTATTTATGAGTCTATTTCGATCATTCTATTTTTTCCAAGTTATTCTTTTTATATTTTGATGTGCATGAGGGTGAGAAGTGTGGTTACCCAGAATTTTTGTTGAATCTGATATATAGAAAAATATAATAAAATTGAAACGCTTAGGCATGCTCTCAACTCATCCTTTGTCCATAGAGCCCTCCTGTCTCCTGTTTGGAAATGCAATGGATGAATAGTCATTCGATGAATCGTCATTTTATTATATTCATTCATTTCCTATTAGAATAAGAATACGTATATAGATCCAATTACTAGAATCATTAAAATTAGGCAATAATACTAGTGAGAATGAGTATTACTATTAAAAGAAATGATTCTCCTTTTTTTGTGGGAATCTATAGCATCGCTCATTATATTTAATGACAGAACCCTTCTTTCAATAAAAATGAAATTTTCCCATGCCGTGGACAAATCATCATCCAAAAGAAAAATATTTGTGCCCTCCTTTGTAGAATGTATTTTCTTGGAATAAGTCCATATTCCAACATGAAACAAAGAGGAACGATATACGTGATGGGTAGAAGGAATTGTGACCCTTGGTTTCATCAATGATTCAAAGCTACAGGATCTAAAATGATCTACCGTGTATTTGCTCTCCCAGCCAAACTCATGCACCTATTATAGCTGGAACATATTTTGCTTTGTCATTTGCCTTGCCCTCTCTATTGTTCCAGTGACAAAGATGTGATAATTTTACATGTTTGACAATTGTTTTTTCTCTCCATCATGTGTTCACTATCATTATTGGGAAGTTTCATTTGTCTGCTTTGCAATGTCTGATGTCTTCCTTTTTTTTTGGCAGCTTAGGGACAGGGAGACTGAAGGAAGACAGTAATTTAATGCATCAATTATCTGATGCTTGCTTAGTTGTTGATGCTCTTGAACCATCAGTAAGGGAAGAGCTGGTGAAAAATGTTTGTAGTAGAGAACTCACGGCATATCAACAAATTTTTGAGGGAACAGGTCTCTTCTATGGCTATTTAAATTTTTCCTAAGACTAGGATAACCACTGTGGTGTTATTGGTTTTTTCAGACATTTTAGATGAGATGCATACCGTTCATTCGTGATGCTTTCTAGTGTGGAATGATTGGTAGTTTTCCATCTTTTGTCTTATACTCCCAGAATTAGCAAAGTTAGACAAAGCTGAAAGAAGATATGCTTGGATAAAGCGTCAGGTTCGTGCAAATGAAGAAATCTGGAAGATATTTCCCAATTCATGGCATGTTCCCTATTTGCTGTGTATCCAGTTTTGCAAGGTCACAAGGTCCGTCAACATTGACCTGCTTAAGTTATCTCAGATTTCCATGAACTTTGAACATCGTGGTTTGCTTTATGTCCTTCTGGAGCATTTGTTATGACAGAGATAATTTTGAGCTCTTAATGGATCCTAGTGCATGTACAAAATTCAAAAAGGCGTTACCAATTGCTTACCGATTACTTCACATCTCACTTTGCAACTGGGCCTTATTATTTTTCTTCTCTTTCTAGCCCAGTCATAAGTTGTCATTCCTTTGTAATATTGTTTGCAGGACATATCAGAAGTATTTGCCTGTCATGCATAAACATATGTTCATCTTCATAGCAAACATCTTTTAAACCTGCTTATTCAATCTGGTTATTTTATGACCATTTTCCTGTATCCTAGTTGGGCAACATTCTTTTATGTATCTAATTTATTTTGAGTAGAAGAGCTATGGATTTTGACTTTGTATGACTAATAGTGCTTTTGTTTTGTGTCTTAAAGTCAGTTTGTTTTTGGAATTAATGCCTAAAGTGTATTGGAATACCTGTTTTACAAGAAAATTCATGATTGACATTAATGGTTCTAGTTCCACAAGTGGCTTATCTTGAAATGTAGTGGCTTCTGATGTCGGAGCTTTTTTGGCATGTGTAACTTAAATTTTGACTCATTCCACAAGCTTGTGACTTGTTAATTCTTCTCATGTGACCATAGTAAATACATATTGAGATTTCTATTAGGATTTCAATCAACATGATGCAATAATTATTTCCTCTAATTTGATGTAGACACAACTAACCTGGAGAGTTAGTCAATTGTTCAACTCAAATTTGCAGGAGCTGCAGAATGGATTGTCTTCATTGGAGTCATATATCTTTCTTTTCTTAAATCTAGTGGAAAATTAGTGATTCTCTACTTCTACTTCTAAGTTGCTCAAGAAAATGTGATTGTGAAAATTTAGGACTTGCCTGAAAAACAACATAGGCACCCTGACTAACCCCTTGATTCTGTCAACTATATATATATGTGTGTTTATTTTATTGTTGAATAGCACATGGATACCTTCAAATACGCTGAAGTACTTTAATTGTACTGCAGAAATGGTCCAAATACCCCACTTAGATGTATACATTATAGCTATTCTAACGTGATTTTGAACCTTGGACGATATGAATCTGTGACAACCAATTTTTAGCTCTATTTTTGTTTTTGTAACCTGGAAGCAGTTATTAAGTAGTAGTTAACTCAGGTTCGGACTAGTCACTTGGATCTGGCAGGGTTGCTGGCTCTGGATAGAATACTCCGGGAATCGAGTGAATCTCACTTGTTTAGCCCACTTTTGTGTATTTTTTTTTCTTGGAGACTCGTCCAAGTCGGACTGCAGGCTTGGCCGAGTTATAGGTCTGACTTGGGCTCGGTAGCCTGGTGAGTCGTGGCTTTTAATCACTGCCAGAAAATTTCAGCATGTTTCTGCTACATTTAAATTTTCACTCCATGAAGCAAGTAAAGATGTATACCAATGTTGTCATTTGCACATTCATATGTTTCAATTTATTTACTGTGAAGTTGTATGCTTTTGATATTTGGTTGTAGCCATGTATTGATTATCATTGTATTGGGGTAGTAAATTTTGGTGGTTCTGCTATCCACTCTTACAGTTTACTGATGCTATTATTTCAGGACGCAACTTGTTGAAATCCTTGATAATCTAAAAGAAAAACCAGAAGTTGGCATTTTATTGATGGTAAACTTTTAACCTTTGGGTTCCCTGTATTTAAAAGAGTTTTCCCTTGTTTCATGCCAAATTGTCTTAGTTTAGCACGAATTGTTAAAACTTTATTATTTTTATTGTTTTTTAGTTTTGCGAAGTCTTGAGATTTGTGTCATTCTTGATACTTCTTGTCAATCTGGTGATTATGCTTGTGAAAACTTGCTATTCTTTTGATGAATGCCATCCTTTGTGGCTAGTTTTGGAGATACATCTGTTTTTCTGATCAGAAGAAGAAATCTTTTGATGAATGCATATTCAAATAACTGTCCTATGACTACCATCATGACTAGGAGAACCTTAGGGTGGTTAGATGGAGCTTTTAATAATCCTCCTACATGTTTAACTTCTATCAAACTAGTTGTCTCCATTTCTATGTTGGCCTGTCTATCTATTGTCAATTTAATCTGTTTATCTCTTTCTCCATCCATAACTTTATCTGATGCAATTATTAATCTCTATGAGGATCGTTTGTAGTTTGTTAATTTTTGGCAGGAATTTAGCTTTGACCTTTTTACTTGTTTCTTAAATGGTATTTCTTTGTCAGATATGTTGACTTCTATTTAATATCCTTATTTATTTTCCATCCATACAGTCTTCCTTGAGAAACTTGGACTTTGTCTGTTTCAAGTTATCATCCTTAGATTAAGATGCAGGTGTGACAATGTTCCTAGGATTCTAAGCTTAGTATGTGTGTGTACATGTGAAGTTTAGTGAATGTATCATTTATCAGGTCCATTGGGTCCTTGTGAAATGTGGTTGACTTCATCTTGGAGTGTCGTATAAAGTTAATTTATTTCAACATTAACAGGCATTACAGAGGACTCTTGAATTTGAGGAGGAGTTGGCTGAGAAATTTAGTGGAGGAACTGGTTCTCAAAAAAGAGAAGGTGGAAGCAATTCTGAAGAAATTGATGTTGATAAAAGTGAAAGTAACAGCCAAAATGTTTCAGATATAAGGAAGAAGTATGAGAGAAAGCTAGCTACTCAATACGGGACTGGAACTGAGCATGTATGTGCAAGAATTAACCTGCAGTGTGTCGAATAATTCACCCAAATATGGTTATGTAATATTCTATACCATTTTCTGAATGACAGGAAAAGGAGAGCCACAATGACTTGTTTGTGCCTGGAGCAGGGGTAGGCCTATCTCCTTGTATATTTTTTAAAACTTAATCATTCTGGTTTGTCTTGGTTAACCATAAGCTTAGGTCTATTTAGTTTAGGTATAGATTATGACAGGTTCGTTCACTTTTCTTCCTTGGCAGTTCAACTTCCGTGGTATAATTTCATCATGTTTCGAACCGCACTTGACAGTTTATGTAGAATTGGAGGAGAAAAATTTAATGGAGAATTTGGAGAAACTTGTACAGGTAGGTCTATCTCCTTGATGCAGTTTAGAAATATAATTTCACCGGGATCCTTCTATGAATAACATTATAATATCTAATTTGATTTGTTTCCAATAGGAAGAGACCTGGGAGACGGAGGAGGGAAGTCAAACTAATATTCTTTCAAGCAGCACACAGGTAAATGGAACGAAACATATTTCTTTAGGCAAGAAAAAATGTGCCTCTAGCATGCAAATTGTCAATCTTTTGTATAATCGCATATTTTGCATGGTGCATCAACTCTGGGGACAATATAAAGGAAATCTCTTCTTTGAGAAGCCGGCATGGAACTTAAACAGTTGTATTTCGCTAGGAGGTTATAGTTGATGATTTTCATCCCATAGAATGACTAAACTTTTTGCCATTCATCACCACTATTGATCCATGAAATGAATAGAAATAATTCATCCAGAAAAAGACAAAGAAATTTAGGTCATGGTCAAATTCCTATTATCCATACAAAAAATACGACTGAATTTCACTTGTGTTTATGACAGATAAGCACTTAGATCATACACAAGGTCTAAACAATATTCTGAATGTACCTTACCTTATTTATTTATAATGCATGCTAAGATTCTATAAACATTGTTCATCTTCTCAGTTTATATGTGCATGTATATGTAATAGTGTTTTAAAACCCAGATCAGTGGGGTAGATCATCCACCCCACAGATCCATGTCGGATTGCCTGTCCACTAATCCAGATCGATCTGAATTGGTGGCCAGGGAAATATTATAAATAAAATAAAATAAAATACGAGTTCAATTTATTTATTTACTTATTTTTTGGGTGGGAGGACCAGGGCCAGCACCGATACTTCCCGGAACTGGTTTGGTCCTAGCCTATTTCCGATCCACGTCGACGATCCCAATCCGGATCCCAGGATTTTAAAAGTATGTTATCTACTTAAAAATATAGGTCTGACTGGGAGAAAATCACTTTCTGTCTGACCCTATGCATATTTTGACTGGGTGTATATTGACGATTGTTTTTTTTATCTTGTCGTATCTGATATCATGTTTTCTATGGGCTCATCTGTCATGCCATGCAGGTATTTTTGATAATTAGGAGAAGTTTGAAGCGATGTAGTCAGTTGACAAAGAGTCAGACATTGTTCAATCTGTTCAAGGTATGCATACTTCTTCTGTGCATAGTTATGGCCTTATGAGCTTATGATGACCATAGGATTTCTGCAAAGCGAAATTCCTTTTCAATTAAATTTTATATATGAGAAGGAAAAGACAAGGAAGACTTAATAGGCGAAATTTCTAAACTGATCTTATGAAAAATAATATTTTTGTTGTAAGTTATGCTTGCAGTTACTAAGCTTAGCATCTCCTACATCTTTTCCATTCACCATGTTGTTGTAACCTGTCTTTTCGTGACTGCTGTGGTGTAGAGTTAGTCATGCACTATTGTTGTCTTGCCAATCAGGTGTTCGAAAAATTTCTGAAGGCTTATGCAGCAAAACTTACTGCCAGATTGCCGAAGGGTGGCACTGGCATTGTGGCTGCTGCCACTGGCACTGATGGACAGATCAAGGTTCGAGCAAGAGGACTTTCTTTTTCATGTAGCAATGCAACGATAGTCAACATCTTGCTATAAATCATTCTTGTTTGATTATTGATTTTGGTCCTCCGCATTTCTAAATTTGTGAACATTGGCAGACATCGGACAGAGACGAGAGAGTAATTTGCTACATTGTGAACACGGCTGAATATTGCCATAAAACGGTCAGTTAAGTTTTAGCTTGAGACACATTTAAGCTGATAGCCTGATATAAAGCCATTTGGATATTTTCAGATGAAAGCTGTTTCCTCACCACCCGTATAGAAATGAAAATTGACGCAGCTTCATACACAACTTTTCACGGGTGTGACAAAATGCTGCAAAATGTTGCTGACCCTACAACAAAATTTACCTGTTTTCCTGCATTTATAGAAAAAACTCACATCCTATATCAGTGTTCCTACCAAGTCGTCCTGAATTTTTGGCATCCTTAGTCATATGTTTCTATTCATGATGACTTATTACAGAAACTATACTCCAATACTGTTTGAATCAAAATGAATTTTTGGTCAATCGGAATTTTGTTGCTCTCTTTGTTATCTTTGTATATCAAGCATTATTGGGATTGGATGCAATTTTCTTCACCTCAACTGAGCTATCTTAAAATTCATTGTCTTTGACAGTCTGGAGAGCTAGCTGAGAATATTCTAAAGATAATTGATTCTCAATATTCAGACAAGGTGGAAATGTCTGAAGTGCAGGTAACTGTAGTATTTTTGTTATTGCACATAATTATTTCATATACAGGTTATGCAACAGGTATTTTTCACATTTTGTGCAGGATGAGTTCTCTGCAGTGATAACCAAAGCATTAATGACATTAGTTCATGGTTTAGAAACAAAGTTCGAAGCTGAGATGGCTGCTATGACACGTGTTCCATGGGGTACACTTGAAAGTGTTGGTGACCAATCAGAGTAAGTTACATATAATTGTTTTGTATTTTGAACTGCAATTTTTTACATAGAGAAGTTGAACATTTAAGTGTGCAAGCGAGTGTGAGAAGCAAATAATTGGATCCTGTCATTCCAGGTATGTCAATGGTATCAATTCAATTTTAACAAGCAGCATTCCAGTCCTTGGAAGCCTCCTATCTCCCCTTTATTTCCAATTCTTCCTAGACAAGGTACTCATACGACATGCCTTGGCATATTATCTAAGAAATAAGCTTTCACTGCTCAGTTTTCTTCATTAGTTATATTACATGGGGACAATTATTAATTAAGTGAGAGCCAATGCATGCTTCCTTCTACTTCAGATTGGAATAGGAGCTAAATGACACCTGAAATAATTTGCAATAGTAGATGTGTTTTATGTCTGAGTGAACCAGTCATGCTTGTGTATATGTATGCATAATTGCATCAATTGAACTCTTATTTTCGACCTTTAAGTTTTTGCTGATTATCTAAATGGCTTCCAATTTATTCTGATTGTATGCAGCTAGCCGCATCCTTGGCCCCTCGTTTTTATCTAAATATTTATAAATGTAAGCACATATCTGAGACTGGGGCTCAACAGGTAAATGGGTCAACCTTGTTTTCCTTTCTCCTTGTTCTTGAGGATTTCTCCATAACCAACTATTTCTGGCATGGTTGTGCTACATCAAAAATGGAAAAAGTGGATCTATATAAACATGGTTTGAGAGCAGAGTTGATGTAATTGTTAAAAATAGCCATTTTCTTTTCCATAATAAAAACCTTTTTGTATTTAAGATGTCTCTCATATTTGTTTACGTTTTCCAACTTGTAAGTTTTTTTTTTCAACATAATATTGCTACAATTAAGTATTTGATCAATCAATTAAATGTTTATTAGTTTATTCAATGACATGTATTATTTGGGAATATATACTTCACCTTTAATAGTATGAATGATGTTAATACAAAATTTTCGTTTTACACCTTAATGAATTATTTTGGGATCGCTGCAGATGCTGCTGGATACCCATGCTGTGAAGACCATTCTCTTGGAAATTCCTGCTTTAGGAAGACAGGTGTATTTCATGTTTCTGACCCAAACTAGAAAATTCATCAATTTGTAATGCATCTTAACTTTTTTAGCCTAATGGTCATAAATCAACAGGCGATGGAAATTATCAGAAACTAATTAATAACAAAATATTCAGCCTAAAATTGTGTTTAATCAGAGGCAAAAGAAAGAAAAGAAAAGCTTAAAACCGGTGAGCAATTGGATATTAAAAATAATCTTGAGTTGTACAGCCTGATATATCATATTTGAATAAGTATGTTATAATGAGTAAAGTTGATCATTGATGAGGAGGTGCTAGTTAATCGGTGAGCAGTTGCTTCATTGATTTTTGTTACGAAACTTTGCAGGAAAATCAACACTTGGCCTCTTAATGAGTCAATATTTGTCACTTTGCACTTTGGTGCCGAGAAATATTCATATTTTAATTAACCTTCACTAATGCCTTAATCTCTATGTATTTCTTTTTTTTTAAAAAAAAGAAAAAGCAAAAAGTTTTGTTTTGAATTTTTTTAGCTGGGTTTGTTATGCCGGTAGTAACAGTTCTCTTGCCACAGAGCTCAACTGCCCCTGGCTATGCCAAATTTGTGAGCCGTGAAATGAGCAAAGCAGAGGCGCTCTTGAAGGTATGATGAATCGATTATATTTTACTCACAAGTGAATCAACTAAATTTAATAAATTTCTGCTCTTTTACTTCTTCTTTTTTTCTCCTTTTATGAGTTAGTCTTCTGTGCAGGTCATCTTGTCACCTGTTGAATCTGTGGCAGACACATACCGTGCCCTGCTGCCTGAGGGTACTCCTTTGGAGTTTCAACGCATTCTTGAACTCAAAGTTTGTTTACTCGTTTCTTACCTCTTCTTTTAATTTCATTTTTAATATCTCCACTCCTTTTCGGCCCAAACCACTGCATGGCATTTCCACATTGAATTTCACCAAAACTGAATCTGAAATTCTTTCTTAGAGAAATAATTAGAAACTTTGTTGCAAGCCATTGAGAAAGAAAAGAATGGCAATATTTTGAGAATGTTCAAATTTGGGAAATTTTGGACGCGTCTATGCAGGAAACAATGTGAAACTCTGCTGTTTTAAAAAATTAAAGCATAAGTAGGGAAAAATACTTCATCGGTTTTAAGTCCAGTCTTTGAACAATTTTATTGGTTTTTCATTAAATTAGGGGGAAAAAATCCTCTTTCCCAAAAAGAAAAGTTTAAGTTGTGGATTAGAAGCTGTGTTTGAAAACTGTGCAAGCCCGACTTGGACACGATTGAGTTTCTCGGCTCAGAAGGGTTCCAAATATGGACTCTGTTAGGCCATTCTCAATTATTCCTTTGTTTTTTGACACCGACGTCTCTGACGGACTCAGTGACCGAGTCTGTTAGACAGACCTGACGTTGGGCTCGAGACCATAACAATGAGTCCCTACCTGAGTCGTCCTTGTTTTTTAACATTTTACAAGATGTTTTAAATTTATTTATTGGTGGGATTTTCAAATAGGGCCTGAAAAAAGCAGACCAGCAAGCAATACTTGATGATTTCAATAAGCATGGCCCTGGAATTGCCCCTACTCAGCAACCTCCTCCCCAACAACTATTGCCCGTTGCTCCAGTAGCTGCCCAAACTGCCCAAATTGTCGCCCAAGCTGTGGCCCAACCAGCTGCCCGTGAAGACGTGCTCACCCGTGCGGCCGCCCTTGGTCGGGGTGCAGCCACCACTGGTTTTAAGCGTTTCCTTGCCCTAACTGAAGCAGCGAAAGACAGGAAAGATGGGCCTTTTCGGAAACTGTTTAATGCTTGAAAAATTCAAGGTAATTTGTTTTCTCATGGATTCTTTGTTTTTTCTTTTTTCTTTTTTTTTTTCTTATGGTCTTTGTATAGTGTTGAGGATGAGGCAGATGGTGAGAGCGTGGTTTGCTTAATCCATTTTTGGGTTTATTTTTTTTTGGTCATCTTATTATAATGAGAGAGAATTGGTTTCCTCTACTGTTCTTGTTTATTCACTTATCATGAATAAGAAGTGAATGGCTCCTGGGCCCTGGCGTGGCGGATCTCTAAAGAGGTGTCTGGTTGGTTACACATATACAGCCACAGTGTATGAGAGAGAGAGAGTTGAGCATAGGGTGGCAATGGGTCGGGTTCCGCTCTAAAAATTAGACCTGTACTCAGACTTGAGGTTGGGCCTACCCATCAGGTCTCGGGTCTAGTCGTGTCCATTACCACCCTATGACGGATCTGTTTCCTTTTTTTTTACAATCATTTATCGATATTATTATCAACATTTACAGTATTGCACAATATCTACGTGTACCCACATTCTCTGCTGTTTTACTTAATAAGTGGAAATTCTTAAGAAACAAACATGTTGGCAACATTTATGAATACCCACATAACCTTTTGGATCCATACTTGGACCAGATGTTATGGCTACCCCTTGGGTCCAAGGTCTGGTCGGGTCCTTTGCCGCCCCTAGTTGAGCATGAAGGATGAGAGAGAAATACATCGAGCATGGAGGAGGATGAGAGAGTGGAAACAATTGAGCATGGGGAGGGAGAACAGTTGAGCATTTGAGATGAACAATTTAGTACTATTGCAATACCTTTGGATTAATTTTAAGATACCCATAGAAAAAATACAAGGTCTTGAGTTGGGATACTTGCAAATGAGCAAAGCATCAAATACTCCTGCTATGATGGGTATTCTGATAAATTTTCCCGAAGTCGAAAGATTGCAATAACCATCACCCATTCCCCTAGTCGCAAATTGACTCTTCAATTATTTTATTACGTCAAGAACTAAATATTTTACAAAATATAAATTCTTGAGCATGTGTAGGGGTGGCAATGGATTCCGATCCGACCCGACCCGAATGGTGTTAATATTTAAATAATAGTAAATAAATATAATTATATATTTTAGTTATAATATTTAAAAGACGCCACTACACAATGCTTATGGGTGAAAACTTCATTTTCACCCATAGACTTGGCATTGTCCAATGTTTTCGGATGTCGTATATTAAAATATTATAACGGACCTACTATCTGCTGTATCTGCAATCACAATGGACATAGTTGGTTTGTTGCGGTCAATTTTTTATGCAAAAAACATGGGACTCCATAACAGTTCTCATAGAGCCATTGCTATTTTTTAAGCAAAGCTGCAATGGCTTTACTAGAGCCGTTGTGGGGTGAAACACTTCAAATTTGTCCATAGGCATTTTTAAAACTTTTCCATATTTAAATAATACATGTTTACATTTAATGTAATAGTCTAATATTTTGTTTTTTTTACCATTGGGTCAGGTCAAATTGGGTCCGAGTCTGGATTTGGCTCCTATAATTGTTTTTGGGTCTGGGCCAGGGGGACTGCTCAGACCTGACCCGACCGGTTGCCACCCCTAAGCATGCGATCGAATTGGTCCAACTCCAGATTCCAAGTTCTGACTGTGAAAGCAACGTGCTCTACCCAAAGTTCGTGAAGTCCACGAATTAGTACGGTTGAAATTGCTATTTACTAGCTTAATAGAAACACAGCTGACATAGGACTCACAAGAAACCTCCAGAATAATTAGTATATAGGATTCACAAGAAGCCTCCAGAATAATTAGTTTCTACGCTAAATTAAGTACAAAAAAGGAAAAAAATGAAATACCATAATGTGATTATAAACATATTCAATTTGCCCAATCTATTAAAATACAATTTGCGGATGGATTACCCATCCGTTAATTCTTACTTGATTGCTTTGATAAGTAAAATCATTATCATCAAATCATTTTTCCAACTAATTGGGGACGGCTACATGAATCTTAGTTCGTCATTCTGCTCTATTAATGGACATCGCTCAACGAGGTCATAAGTCCCCATATTTTTTCCTCATATCTTCCAATCATGTGCCTAGATCGTGGAAATAATTTTTTTTTAAAAAAAAAGAACAAATTTTTTTATATATTTCTTTGATGATTTAAGATATTTCAAAATTAAAAAAATTAGATTTAAACATATACTTAAATCATTCCATATGTAAATTATCATATAAGGCTAACTTGGTGCAATGTCGATCTAGAACAACATCAATTAGGAGGAACGATTTTGTTTCAAGTGGAAGATTCTAAAATGACAAAATGAAGGCCCAAAAGGATATCGATGAAAGTAGGGAGAAGATATATGAGGATCTATATCCTAACTAAGGGTATGACTTTCCATAGAGCATAATGGCATAACATGAATAATGTAACTAGCCACAAATAGTTGGGATAAAACTTGGATGATGTGATGATAATAAGGCTAACTCGCCAGTTCAAGCCCAGAAGTAGATTGGTGACCAATGTTTTCCATTGCAGATTGACAATTTTCCGAATGCTATTGTGAACTTGTTTTTTTTGCCACTTTGTTCGTTCATCTTCTGCTAGGGAGGACCAACATCCTTGGTGTTTTCCTTTTGATAAATAAAATGCACTAACCATTAAAATTAGCATTTTAAAGACAAGTCAATGGCCTATTGTCTCCCGTACGAATGCATGGGCCACGAAAATTCGAATAAAATTCCTATATGATGGTTTGGACCCGATTTTGTGGTGTTTCACTTGAAGTTAATGGTCATGAAAAAAATTACAAATGGCTGCTCAGCCCGGCCATGGACGAGGCCAGCCCGGCCAGGAACTTGCCGAAGGCACCCTAGAGCTATTCTGGTCGTGCTGGGCCTAATAAAAAACAAAGAAAAAATATAGAGCCGGCAGTGCTGGGCAGCCTGTCATGGCCGGGTCTAGCCTTCAGGCCATGGTGGCCTGACTCTTAGGCTATATTTTGTTAACCAGCCCTACTTTTTAAGGGTTATGCCAACTGGGCCGGTTTTCAGGCCACTACGCCCATTGCCATCCCAAATGGCTACATCACCTCTTTTGGTTTGCATAGTAAAAATTAGTAAGAGGCCCGTACGATGCACATTTTTGTCGTACCATTAATTCTCCATTGTTCTTGTTGTTAATCTTCTAAGGCGCATCAGAGCCAGAAAATTAAATTTTTTTGTTATTTCATAGATGTTTTGAGATAATTCTAGGTCACAGTGTGAATATGGAGACTACCAAATTGGTAGGTCTGGAAATTTCTAAAAAAAAGGTGAAGGTAGTAGCCAAATGTGTTGGTTGTGGTGTCCATGAGAGGCCATACAAATAATTGGCCCCAAAGCTTTGTAGGAGCCCATTTTGTGGGGCCCTGTTGTACTTGGGTTCTAAAGGGTGGGATTAATTCTATCAAATCACCATTTCGGCCAACCCTCCATTGTACTTTGTGTCCTTAATCCTAGCCTCGGTACCTAACTCTGGACAATGAAATATTTCCCTGGAGAGGTTGGCCATTGCACAAGGGGAAAGAGGTGACATTGAGTATGGGCCCGGTGCTTTGGGTAGATTAATGAGAGACCAAGCTGCAATGCTCGAGCCACTCTTCCCATCAGGCTGCTGATGGCTAACAAAGGCTCACTAGATTTTAGTTTGATATTTGGTTTGGAAGAAGTCTGATCAAAATACATAAAATTAAAATGTAATGTTATCATGTCGATTAAGATCAGACAGTTGTCAGTCTCCAAACTACTTTATACCATGTATACATGGAGATACATATAAAGTTCTTATTACAGTAGCAATAGGCCGAACACCAGATTTTATAGAATTCAAATGAATCGAGGAAACGGTAGGAACACCAAATTTGTTAGACTTGAACAAACAGGCCTTAGAAGTGAAGGGGTAAGCAAATTCAATCCTTAAAAAGAGAGAAGGAAATTTGAAAGAGAGGGGTACCCAATTGATTGCATTTTGGATTTGAGCCACCAGAACTTCGCCAATTTTATTGAAATATTGTTTTCCTTGGTACACTAAATAATACCTTGAGAAGCTATGGCTATCATAAAAATTAATGCTCCACATGTACTACGTACCTTCGCATGTCCCTTTTGAATCTTCAGGTGTAGCCCACAAAATCTATAGACAGGTTGTTGAGTGAGAGATCACCAAACAAAGTGCCCACCTATCAAAAATTGTTAAGTGTCATTAGTTGGGCTAGACATAATCAATAGTGCCCACCTATCAAAAATTGATTAAGTGTCATTAGTTGGGCTAGACATAATCAATAGAGAGAGAGAGAGAGAGAGAGAGAGAGAAATTTCATACATGTTGACATTGGCAATAGACTGTTGATAACGGGTGAGCTTACATGTATGATTTACTTGGAGACGTCTACTAATCTTAATGTATCTTGATTGAATAGTTGAGAGCTATGTCTAAATGTTCGCATTAGCTAAGTGAATTGTGATCAAGATCAATTGGGATCGGTGATTTCCCTTGCTGATCTTGACAAATATTAAATTATCATTTTTATATTTAAAATAATTTAAAAAATAATTAAAAAATAACTAGGATGGGAACCAAATGATCCAAACCTATATGAATCGATTGGTTCCCTATCATATTGACTCAGCTCTATAGCAGAACTAGGTGAATCCCTCTAAATCGGACCAATTCCTGCTCCCAGTGGGAATCGAATTGGTTCCCCATTTAAATCCTGCTAAGTCACTATCAACATTTGCGATTTTTTAAGCACTTGTTGGGAGTGAAATGTCACGTAGAAATTATGGTCTAATAATTACGACTGATATTAGTTTGCGATATTGTTTTTTATCGATTCCCAAACTGTACAATCAAGATCTCACAATTGTGGGTCCTACAAGTACATAGTAGACTCATACGAAGGTTTCTCATTGATAATTACCGACCCACTCATTATTTTACTGGAACTTGGGGGTCTAATCCTAAAGGGATTGCCTACAAAGTTTTTTGTACATGGAAGTCACAAATCATTCCCACTTATTAAATGTTAAATTAGATAGCTTGGGGTGAGTCACAAAGTCCGATAATTTCTTTTTCAAAACTTTGTGTCTATTCGATGACACTCTTACAACCACCCATTTTGAAAATTCAGGGATAAGAATGATTGTGACCTCCCTATAAAAAAAATAAACGACCTCATTGTAAACAATCACAATCCTAAAACATTAGAAAAA